AGCAGTTCCCTTGTCACAACACACTGGCCTAGCCTGTCCATGGTTATAGCCATGCCCCTCTGTTCAGTCACGCCCCCTGGAGCCTGCCCCTGTTTCACAGGAGCTCCTGCTTTCCCTGCAGCCAGTTCTGTGAAGCTGGGGGCCAGCAGATCCTTAATGCCTCCCTTCTTACAACGCCCCTGGGGTAGGGCGGGGTCATCCCCGTTTTACAGATGGGGAAATTGAGGCACAGAGTGAGGCACAGCAAGCGAAGCCCACACGGAAGCCGTGATTTACACCAGTAAAGTTTCCTCTGGCTTGAAACGGGTGTGAGCTCAACTGGTGCAAAGCGGATGGCTGTTGCTAGGGCAGGCCAGGACAGCCTGGGGGTTTGTGGAGTCTCCCTCTGTCTTCCTGGCTGATGTTCCTCGGCTTCCACCAGCCTTCATGGACGCTGTGTGGACCACGCAGGGGGCCTGACCCTCTGGCTGCCAAGACTGGGCACACCTGGGGGGAGACCCCCCCCCTCAGCGTTTGCCCCCAAACCTGCACTGAGGTTGGCCCCAAAGCATCCCTGCCATGGGTGGATCTTGCAGGACTGCCAGCCCAGTGTCTGCGTCGTGCCAAGGGCCTGGTTTCTCTGTGGGCTCTGCCCCTGTGGTGGCAAGGCCTTGGGAGCTGGTTCCAGCTGGCGTTGCTCTGCCCTTGGTGTGAGTCCCCCCTGCCCAATGGGGGGAACCCATGTCTCCATGTGGCTGCTAATCTTGCCATGCAGGATGTTCTCTATCATATCCCCCCCAGTGCTGACCTCTGGCATGGTGCTAAGGGGATGCCGTGCTGCAGTGCGGGGTGCTCTCCCCTCATCTCTGGGCCTCAGATCTGACCATATGGAGTCATCCCATTCTGAGGACCAACCTGTATGGCTAGAATAAAGGGAAATGCCCCCCCGTCCCGAAGAGAGAGAACCAGCTAACGGTTAGAGCAGGGAAGTGCGCATCAGGATTCCTGGGTACTGTACCTCTCTCTGCCAGCGACTTACTGCATGACCTTGGGCAAATCACATCTGCTCGCTGTGCCCCACCTGCAGCATAGCGTTAGTGCCCCCTGGCCTGCCCCCGGGGGCCTTGCAAAGCGCTTTGAGGTACTGGCTGCAAGGGCCTGTACCTGGACGAAGGATCGTCGCTGTTGTTCAAACAGCTTTGTGCGGCACGGGGGCTGCACAGCAGCAATACCCAGAACCGGACAGCTCGGACCCCATCCTGCTGTGCCCTGTGGAGGGAGGCTCGGGACGCACCGACCATCCTGTGGGCTGGGCAGAGAGCAGGCACAGCAGAATGGGGGGTCTCCAAGAGAATGGGCTGCCTCCATCTATCCCAGTGACCCCCACCTTCAGAGGCACAAGTGAATCCACTAGCTTGAGCACAGAGGCAGCGCGCCTGCCCATAGACAGCTCGGGGCCATGAGAAAAGTGGGAGAGGCAGGGGCCGGGGAAGCCAGAGAGCTGGTGGGAGCAGGGCCCGACGCAGGCAGCTGTCACTGCTGGAGCACTCAGCAGATTTAACGAGGTTCCTCTGCCTTCATCCGGCCACGGCCCCCACGCTGCGCCTTGTGCGGGCCGCAGGCCCCTCAGGAGGGCCCCTGACCCCGTTTCCATCCTTGGCTGGGCCCTGAATGGGGTTGTCAGGCTGGGACCCAGAGAGAGACAATAGGGGAAGGCAGAGCTTTGAAAGCTGCTGCTCCCCCATTGTGTGCTCTGGCTTCGGGAGGCTGGGCAAGCGGCTGGGGCTGAATGGTGTCTGAGCTGGGGCTGAAAGGGGATGGCAAATAATGTGCTGCTTGTGATTCGTGGCACATAGTTGCTTGGCTGGCCCTCTGCCAGCCGCACATCCAC